ACGATGTAAGTTTGTGATTTGGATAACTTTGCGACGGACTCTCCCATGAGGTACATAAAAATCATTCATACTTGGAATTGAAATTTTATTCCTTCTACAAAAAGAAGAAACTTCACAAAAGAGAATATCACATCATCTGTCTCTTAAATTTTGCAGTCGTTCTTTGGCAACTTTGACCAATTGCATAGCATTAACAATATCTTGATCCTTTCTTTCCAAACATTTTGACAACTCCTTAATTATTCTAAGGACACTCTTTATCAAGTGTAAGGTGAAACCAAAATCAAAATATTGGACTAATTGCAAGAGTGTTTGAGCTTCAACTCGTTGTTCAGAATTTGAACCATGTTTAGCCACATTCTTAAGCACATCAAGGATAGACGAAAACAAGATAATAGTTTTGAGACACGTACCACAATGAGAACCCCATCGTGTTCACTGGTATGTTTGAGGCTACGCTCTTGATGTAATCCTATCCCACTACAAATTTCATCATTATTTAATGCCTCAACAACTCTAATAGCTTGACTATCTTTGAGCATTTCAAACCGTTTGCATGAAGCTCCAACAACATTTAGTAAAGTGTTTATGTTTTGAAAAAGAGAAGCAACACAATCTTATCTCTTTGCAACGGCTACAAGAGTTAATTGAACCTGGTGAGCAAAACAATGAACATAAAATGCACACTCTTTTTGTAACACCGTCCCCAAATGTATTTACTTTTAAGTGAATATTGTATTGGACCTTATGAAATGGTTAATGAATATACGAAGTTGTGAATTTTATTATTTTTATTCGCGTGAATAGTAAATTGCGTGTGGGGCCCACACCGGGGGCGGGGGCCGCCCGATATTCCCGAGACCGTATATTTTATTCAACTTGGTCGAAATAATATTTATATAGAGGTGGAATATTTATTCGGTCCAAAGGAATGACATAATGTGGACCGATTGGTCAAAAGCGGCTCAATTACCGGTATTGGTAATTTAACGGATAACAGCCCGAAATTTGATTTCGGAGACCTATAAATTAAAATTGGGAAATGTATATTCATTATAAGGGTCATAATGATTGAGAACACATAATATATTTTATTTGACCCGATAAAATAAAATATAATTAAAACAGTCCGAAAAATACAACTTTCGGGACAAAGTGTACACTTCTGGACAAAAAGGGTTGACCTCCCACATGGGTGGGGGCCAACCCACGAATTTGGCCATACAAAACCAAGGGGTGGGCGGCTGGATTGGAAAGGAGGAGGTGGGAGGTGTTGGAGTTGAATAGATGGGCATCAAAGGTACATTAGATGGCCCCCCATCCTTACTCATTGGATCAAAGAGACAAAAACCAACCCTCACCCACTCTCTCCCTCACTTTCTCCATTATTGTAGAGAGCCCAACAAGAAAGGACCTCAAGTAAAGGAATTAAAGTGCTAAAAGTGTGGAAAATTAAGGTAATAACCTTATCATAACTTTTTCTCTATTTTTCCTTCCATCATATGAGATAAATATCATATGAAGAACCCTTGAGATTGTTCTACATGCTAAGAGTGTGGAATAATGGGTTGGAGGGTAGTTCTAAGTCCAAAAACGGACTTAGGAGCCAAACCGACAAGTTCACCGGAAAATAACCTTTTAGAGGTTATTTGTATTGATTAAGGTTTTATGATGTTAAAACCTTGTTAGGAGCTTGATTAAAGTATTTTTGAGCTTCGCCGGAGTTTTCGCCGGAGTTGGTCAAAGTTCACCGGAAATTAGTCAAAGTTCAACCGGAGAGCGTAGAACGCGCGTGAGCTCACTTAAGGTGAGGATGACCGACTATATTGCTTATAATTATTGGGTTAATTTCATAAGATTACCTAAATGAATTATATGTGTTTGGCATGATTTAATTATAATAAAAATTGCCTAAATGAGATTATTATTGTTTATAAGCAAAAGTGCATAATATACAAATTTATGAATAAATTGTGTATGATTATGTATTATGAATACAATGGTATAATAGTGTGTAAACTATAAATGAATTGTGATAAATATACTTTTACCTCATGTAAGGAAGTCATGGGAGAATAAAAGTGATATTTTGGTATTAGAACCAAGTTATACTTGAATGTGGAATTAAATTGAAATATCCAAATTAGTATGGATTTGCATTGGTTTATTAAGGTTAAATGACTAGTATAGAAATACTAGTCGGGAATGTTAGCATGAAAAGTGATAGAACAAATCCTAAGGGCTTGGATTGTGAAAGATGTACCTTAAGTAGTCATGCGAAATGTCTTAAGGTAGAAATGAGTAAACGCTAAGTTACCGTAGGAGTAGACCTTAAAGGTTACTCATAGTAGAGGAACTCTAGGCATAGAGTTTGCTTAGTGAACTAGTATCGTGACTAGAGGAAGCCTCTAGCATGATGAAGAATGACTGGAGGAAGCCTCCAGCATTCGTGTAGGACGACTAGAGGAAGCCTCTAGCGTAACGTAATGTGACTGGAGGAAGCCTCCAGCACAACGTATGTAAGGTGATTAGAGGAAGCCTCTAACACCAAGTGGAGTGACTGGAGTCAGCCTCTAGCACGACAAAACATGACTAGAGGAAGCCTCTAGCATGGTAAACTAATATAGATGGGTGTGGCTTGAAGTCACGGGGAAAGGGTTAAATGTTTTCAAAGTAAACATGGGCCTTCGGGCGATTACTTGACTTTATATATAAAGTAAGTATATTTTCAAAGAGGGTAACCAAGGGTTATGACCTATAATATTATATCATTCTATTTGAGGGTCTTGGAAATTGAAACTTTGATTATACTTAGTATAGTTGTCATTGTACTTGTCAAATGCTTCCAAGTACTAACCTCCCCTTCACGGGGGAGGCCACCTCACAGTTTCAGGTAGAACTTGAAGGTTGCTACCATCACCGTTGCTTCGGGCGGATTATCAAGGAGAGGAGACGTGGTTCGTGCTTCCTCCGTTCCTATTTTAAACATTCAAATTAGTGCTCATGAATATTATTTTCCGAATAGTTATTTAGGGCTTGCACGCACGTGGTTGCCACGTGTGGCTCGAATGCTTGTATTAATATTTCCGCTGCTTAATTAAACGATTTACATTATGATTGTTTATGGATGTACTAATGTGAATGGTATTCAAGACGCCTTGTATAGTATGGATGAGTTGGACTGCGGTTGACTATTCGTACTGTACGGCGGGTTGTTGACGTGTCCGGGAAGGTCCGGGGCGTGACACTTTTCCTTCAAGATTAAAGTTTTCAAACCATTGAATTCACCCCTCATGTTGTTAGCCCCATCATAACCTTGTCCTCGTAATCTAGAAAAGCTCAATCCGTGCATGGAAAATTCAGAATCAATTGCTTTTTTCAAAGACAAAGCACTAGTTTCACAAACATGCACAATACCTAAAAACCTTTCAATAACACCACCTTTCTTATTCATGTAGCACAAAACAAGAGCCATTTGTTCCTTGTATGACACATCACGAGACTCATCAACCAATATTGAAAACAAATCATCTCACTAGCAGAAGCATTCATAATGCCATTTTGAATATCATGAGAAGTCATCTTTAATTTTTTGGAGCATTTTTCAAAACAACATTATGAATTTCTTCATAATGATTTGCTAGAAAATTGAAGAGTTCAAGAAAATTCCCTTGGTTACTTGACTCTTCTGATTCATCATGATCTCAAAAAGTTAGCCCTTGACACAAGAGGAACTGAATATAATCAATGGAAGCAATCAATCTCGTACGATATTCAATTCGAGATTGATTTGTCTGTTTATTCAAAACTGATTGAATGTGTTGATTTTGATTCATCAAACTCTCACTCTTTTTCACAGCTTGATTGTGAGTACTATTGGGAGGTCTCACATGAGTATTAAACCTCTCTTTTTTATTCCAATGACAAAAACCCTCCGTTATAAAGGAGTTGCAGCGAAAGATGGAGCTTTGCGCACAAGGAGTCAAGGAGTCAGGAACCGTGTGTCCAAAATTCTCCTTTGCTAACTTTTCAATTGGTTTAAGTTGGTGTTCCAACTTTTAAAAGTTTTACATTGACCCCCATTTTTTTTAAATGATGGACTAGTGTCAATTTATAATTTATGAAAAATTATATATACCTATATAGAGTTTTTATTTTTCAGTGGTGTCAATTAAAATTTTAAAAGGAAAATCATACCTATATATGGGGGAATCCAGTGGTGTCAATTGGCACCACACCTCAAAGGGTGGCTCCGCCACTGAACTGTAGCCATCGCCTGAGTCTTCAACCACTGCACCGGCATCCATGATCAAGAATGAGGCTTTTTTTCATTAATGGATCTACAATTTCAAATCGGGTGTCGATGGGAAGACTTTAGAGAGTGTGCACAATTCTGAAGATGGATAGAAGGGTTGATGAACAGAGAGAGGAGATGGACTTAGGGAGGCGAGTTTACCCTATCAAAAACTGACAAAAATGGAAAGAATGAAAATAATAATGGAACGGAAGGAGTAAATTCCATTAGATGAAAATCCCACCTTAAACATTATACCATAATCTCACCTTATGGTCACCTTAATACGTAGTAGAATAGCAGGTCATTATTAATTTATTACGGAAATAAGGTGACCATAAGGTGGGATATATGGTATAATATTTTACAAAGATAGGAAAATAACTTAAGTAGCAGGGTCATCAACCGGTCAGAGCCAACAAATGAATATAGGGCGTAAAGGTTGGATTATTCCTAAATAACGTAAATGTGAGACTATTATAAGAAGTCCGCTAAAAGGTTGAATTATTAGTTTCCATTTTACCTTTAAATTATACTTTATACTTCAATACAACTTTTGTGAGAGAGTGAACATATAAAATTAATTATTACAATTAGTATCCGGAGTATATTATCACGGAAAAATTTAAAAGTTTATCACCAAACTATCATAAAACAAAACAAACATAAAAAAAAAGTGACAACTCCGGTACCTTTCTAAAATGTGGGGTACCGTACCTATCATTCATTTGATTGGCCCACATCACTTTATCATTTTTAATTTAGATTTAAATAATTCAACTGCTACTTGCTCATTGGTCCATATGGACAAAGGTATGGTACCTTATGGGTACCATAGAATCTACCTAAAAAAACCTCTAGATTTATGTATAAAAATTAGAACTAATTAGATCATATGCATGAGGCATGAGATCGAGCTACATATATATACACCGTCCATATAGGTCAACAAGAAGATGAAAAAAAGTTGATTTCGAACAAAGGCGTTTGGCTACTTCTCAATTCTAACCGACACTTCCACTGCCTGATTATCCGTCAACGCCGCAGGGATGTTTCCCGGCTGAGAACCGGCGGAAGGAACTGTCTCCGCCCTGCAGGGGAGGAGATGACCCGAGCTTTTCACGGGCAGGATCCGGGCTCTGCAAAGAGGGCAGTTGGCGTGGGCCCGGAACCACCTCTCAATGCAATCCGCGTGGAAGCAGTGCTCACATCCGGGTAAAACCCGACCCGTCTCACCATCCCGGAGCTCCGACAAACAAACGGAGCATTCCACCGGCGTGCCGTTATTAGTCCATTTGGGGGACGAACAGAAATGGGGAAAAGTCGGAAGCGTTTCATGTAAAGATGGGTCGAGCCCAATTGGGGCAGAACCCGCAGAAAAGGAATCTTCCCGGTGGTCGGGGCGGCGACTACGGCGCCAGGAGACCCGCCGGAGAAACAGGCGGAAGAAAGCGAAGAAAAGGCAAACGGCTGCAAGAACGACGACGACGATTAACGTGAGCTTTCCAGTGTACGCGAAGTTTGAGCATGTGGAAAGCTTTCTTAGTGGAACAGAAGTTGTTGATGATGAGTTCTCAGCCATGGATTCCGATCATTAATTAGCTTTCTTCCTTTGAGCTTTGAAGTAGAAATATACGTGTATGGGGTTAAGAGCTGGTAATAACAAGTGTGGGGGTATATGCATGATATGGCCGGCGATACTTATCTGTGAAAATTTACGACAAAATAAAAAACTATGGGCTATGGCAGTTGCAGATAATTTGCAGCCTTAAGGAAGGAGGGGAGGAAGTTTCGTTAAAAGGGAGTAAAAGATTAAGGGAGTGTTTGCAACTGCTTCTGCTTAAAAAAAAGGCACTTTTGGAGAAGTAATGAAAAAGTGATTGGTAGTAAAAGTTGATAGTGTTTGAGAAAAAAGTGATTTTGAAAAGTAAAAGTTGGTAGTGTTTGGTAAAATAAGTGCTTTTTGTGTAATAGAAAAGGGAAAAGCACTTTTCACACGCAAGCCGAGAAAAAGTAAAAATTGGTAGTGTTTGGTAAATAAGTGCTTTTTAAAGTCAAAAGCTGAGAAGTGCTTTTTTTTAAGCAGTTGCAAACACTCCCTAAAAAAGATTTGCACCGGCCCCCACGTCCCTTTATGTTAGAATATTCATAATAATCCCAACTATTGGCTATCCGCTCATAATAATCCCAAATATTGATTATTACAGAATAATCCCAACTTTAGGGACCTTCCGCCAATAATGGTCCCGATGAATAAATTCTTGTAGTTTCTAAAGTGGATGAGGTGAGATATAACAAGTAATCCTTATAAATAATCTCAACTTTTAATTTTTACGCTTAATTTCTATTTAAAATTCACTTTTTATAGAGGTAATATATGGTCATGGACCATTATTGGCGGATAGTCTATATAGTTGAGATTATACAAAAATAATCAATAGTTGGGATTATTTTCAGCGGACCAGCAATAGTTCGGATTATTATTTTCAATTTTTCCTAAAAAGTTTGATCCCTGTTACTAAAAATACTTGTTCTATAAGATACGTGGAGTACATAGTACATACTGGCAAATTATACCGTGCAACCGGCATACCATGCACATGGTATGCCAGTTGCAATACGGTGCCGTTTTTCCATAACAATCCCAATAATATAGCGCACCACTACCTAGCACTTCCCCTACGTTTCTTTTTTTCCCTTCTTTCTTGTCATACACTGCACCCATCTTTCCCCCATCGTTTTTTTTGCTTTAAATTTTTCATTATAAAAACCAATCATGTTTCCAAATAATTCTTTTAATTTTAGAAACAATGATGCATGTATTACATACAATTTTGAGAATATTATGTTTTTTTTCTGTCAGTCCTTATTCACACATTTTTTTCTTTTATACTTCAACTTAAATTACAATAAAAAGTTAACTTATTTTTTCTTCAAAATAAATAATTTTATATTTTATACACTTGTATGATTTATATTTCAACATGTGTGAGTTGTGCTTATAGACAATTTTTGGAATTACATTTGATAGTAAATGAAGTTACACATTCTTATGCGCAAGTTACATCTGTTTATGCGTGAGTTACATCTCAATGTACGCGAGTTACACCATGAAATAAAACTTGCTAATGATCAAAAAATGATTTTTTAACTATATCATTTTTTATAATCCTAATATTAAAAAAACATGTTCACTATTTACAAAAAGTAATTAGGCAATTAAGATCAATTTTAATTGTTTACATTGAAATCAATCTTGATAATATACATAAATATTTTTTTCCTTGTATGTATGTATGTATGTATGTATGTATGTATGTATGTATGTATGTATGTATGTATGTATGTATGTATGTATGTATGTATGTATGTATGTATGTATGTATGTATGTATGTATGTATGTATGTATGTATGTATGTATAAGATGCTTACATTTCAACTTTTCTAGACTTACATTTCAATCTACGCGAGTTATATTTTAATGTAAGCGAGTTACACCACTAAATAAACCATTGATTAAAAAAATTAACTAAATCAATTTTTATAGCCTTAATATTAAAAATTCAAAACATATTCACTACTTTTAAAAAGTAAGTGGGCAATTAGGATCAATTTTTCATTGATTACATTGAAATAAATGTTTTTCCCCTTACATTCCGTTTTTGACAACTTACATATCAACTTGACTCAAGTTACATTTCCTATCAACGTGAGTTACATTTTTGTAAACGGAAGTTACATCATCGTGATACTAAAACACAAAAAAAGAAATTATTGTTCATCCGCGGCTACTGTTCATCCGCGTTTTACTCCTGGGAGCATGATGCTCATTGTGCACCGGTACCACGATATACGAACTGTACATACTCGTATGCATTTTGGGTTATTCCAAAAATTGAATCACATTAATTTTTTCTAAAAATACTTGTTCTCTAAGATGCATACTCCTTTACATTTTGGGTTATTCCAAAAATTGAATCACATTAATTTTTTGTTTTCTGAGTTAATAATGGTTTTACTTGAACCGTTTTCAATCTCACACCAGATAAGACCAAACCAGAGTAGACTTAAACAGATCAGTTTAGACCAGGTTTTCATATAGTTATAAAACACACAGAGATCAGACATTAACCACATCAGACTATACCAGTTCAGACCAAATTAGATCAGACTTAAACAGACCATACAAAACCAGATCAGACCAGCAAATTTTAGTCTAAGCAAAAACATCCTTAATCACTTCCAACTTTAATTTTTGTAAATGGTGTCTTACTTTTTCAATATTCAGATTGTAAAATAACTATTTTGCTTTTTATTTTTTTAAAATTCACGCCAAATCCAAATGTTTTTACCTTATGAGGCGAGAGTGTGCATTGTTGTTTATGCTAAAGTTTCAAAAAAGAAATTGTCATATACTACGTTTGAATTCCAATATAGAATCACTATGTTTTTCCTAAATAGCTAGAAGTATAGAACTAATTAGCATCAAGTTTGAAAATTATTGCCAAATTTAAAGTTTGTTAATGACAAAATGTGGCAATAATTATACTTATTTAGGGGATAAAAACATAATATTTTAACTCAGGGGCTTAGACACTTGGCTGGAGAGGATTCTGATGCTTAACTCAAATAAGAGGGTGTTTGGATGTGTTTCTTAAAACTGCTTCTGATTTTTCAGGGAGCAGAAATAGAAGTTGGATTGTTTAGGTGAAAGTGCAGAAATACTTCTGATACTCTTATTTACTCCAACAAGCAGTTTTTTGGAAGTTGAGGGAGACCAGATTCTAAAAATAGATTCTGATTCTGGATCTGCTTTAAAAAAGAAGCAAAATCATAATCAGTTCCAAACACCCCATAAGTTTACCAAGGTGTGAACAAGTTAGAACAAAATGCGCGACAAAAGCCTTCTATCAATATGTGAAGACATATCTCCTTAGACTGGGCAAGGTCATGATGTTACAAGACTAGAACAGATTCAAACAAAGCATATCATATCAGAATTAGACCTTCCAAATTTAGACAGTAGTAAACTACACATACTCCCTCCGTCCCTTAAAACTGTCAACTTTCCTTTTTTGGATGCCCCACTAACTTTGTCACTTTTCTTTTTAAATAAAGAATTTGTGGTTCCAGATAATTCTCCCTCCTCCGCACAAACTTCAACCACACAGTTTTTACTTTATTAATCCTCGTGCCGATCAAACTTGGCAAAGTTTTAGAGCATGCACAATGCTAATGCCACTTGACCTCCTACTCTCTCTTCCATATCATTTTCTTCCAAAAAATTAATCCCCTCTAACTCATCCCAATTTTTCCCCACTATGGTGGCCTAGGTCACTTAAATTTTTTACACTATCTCTCCTTATTTTTGATATATTCCACCATTATTAATTTATTTAATTTCAAAAAAGGAATACTCCATATAAAATTCACATTTGACCCATTGTAATTATTTAGTGTGAAAAAATAAATATATAATTATTTTAAAAAAAATTGTTACATATCCTTAATTCAGAGGAAAAAATGTTCTAAAACAGATAAAATAAGATGCACGAAGAAAAGAAATGATAAATTTTGAAGTAACTAAATATATCCTTCATTGGTGTCTCTATGTATAGAGGGGGGAAAATCTAATTTTGTGATATAATTTTTTTATTATTATAAATTAAATTTAATACATAATATATGAAATTAGGGAGTTGGGGGTAAGTAGATTGGGTTGATTCAAAGTAAAATGTCATTTGGATTTTCTAATTGGTTGGTCACAAAGCACATGTCAGCTCCCATTTGTGACCTCCCTTCTTGATCCTTCACTTTGTGATCTCCCATAGTGGGGATCAAGTGGGGTTAATTTTTTTATGATCCCCATTTGACCTCCCATAGTGGGTGCCCTTAAGGAATTGCGATAGTACATTACATCAAATGAGACTTAAATAGACAAGACTATAAAAGTTTAATTAGAATTCTAGATTATATTTACCTTGCATCCAAGCAAGACTAAATAAATAGTATTCATTCTACACATTTCATTTGAATATGTTTAAATAAAACATTATTACTTATGTTATTTAAAATAATTTATTTGTTAAGAAATGTTATCAATCATTATAATCTTAGAAACATCACATGTCGACGTCAGATAAATAAAATTTGATTTCTTTGGTAAAAGAAAATCATTAAAATTTGACTTCTTTGATAAAAAAAAACTTATTTAATACTAGTAACTTGCATGCAATTATAAAAAAATGAGATAAGGGTTAGGGTCTCGAACTTGAAAAAAAATGTCAAATAAGGCCATATTTAGGATGCTCTGTCCGGCCGACGCCATTTGGGGTGGTTCCCGGTAGAATTTTTTGATGAATTTTTTTGAGAATCTTATTCATTAAGTCTAGTTTACTCATATCAAATTTGAACTAAAAATTTAATCGGGAAGGCATTCAAATGAATTCTTGAAGATAACTGTACCGTTAAAAGCGCAGTTATCTTCATGAATTCATTTGAATGCCTTCCCGATTGAATTGTTAGTTCAAATTTGATATGAGTAAACTAGACTTAATGAATAAGATTCTCAAAAAATTTCATCAAAAAATTCCACCGGGAACCACCCCAAATGGCGTCGGCCGGACAGAGCATCCTAAATATGGCCTTATTTGACATTTTTTTTCAAGTTCGAGGCCTTATCTGACCCTTATCCCTAAAAAAATTAATTTGAAATTATTTGATGATTCTTTAAATAAAATTTGATGTGACATCAACATGCATCACCATTGCGGGTCATGTCCGCATATGATCGTGGATTTTTCCAATCCCCTTGCAATTACCCAATTTCCCGCTCTCCAAATACGTACAAGGGATAGCACATGTGGTCCAATAGCTAGGGTGAATATTACATACTCCCTCCGTCCCTGAATTATCTTCAAACTTTCCTTTTTCGTCCGTACCAAAATTATCTTCTATTTCCCTTTTTAGCAAAGAATTTGTGGTTCACAACCATTCTTACACATTTCTCTCTCCTCTGCACAACTCTCCACCACACAAAACTCACTTTCTTAAATAATGTGCCTAGCCGAAATGGGAGAAAGATTAGGGACGGAGGGAGTACAACACAATTAACCCAATTTTGGATTGGGATAATCACCGCCCACCCCTACCATCAAAATCATCCTCACTTATCACAACTACCGTACTCATTTTAAAAATAGGGCACTGTACCTATCACTCACATGATTGGTCCAAATTATTATATCATTTGTTATATTTCGTAGTAAACAAAATGTTAGATTCTTTCAACTACACGGCCGTGTTGTTCTTTCAACTCTTTTGATTTGATCATTTGATGTAATATTAGACTTCACTATCATGCATGTTATACGGGTTATATTAAAAGTAAAGATAGATTTAATAAGTAAAGATAGGATAGTGATGGTATCATGGATTAAGACCATGGCCTAATTGCGGAATTATAATTAAAGCCCATAAACGTGATCAAGTTCTCAACGATATTAGCCCTCAACGGATTTAGCCCTTAACATGATTAAGCCCCCATGAACGGGATTAAGCCCATGAACGGGATCAGCCTGTAAACGAGATCAATATTAATCAACTGATGGGCCTAATTAGGAATGAAACTCATGAAAGGAACCTACAACTAAGCCAGGCTAGACAGTAGAACTCGAGCCAGAACGAAGTTCTAGTGAGGTCGGACTTTCCTTTGGACTTACGTGGCAGACTATCGTTCGTGGGTGGCAGCAGGCAAGAATAAATGGAAGGAACATGAACTTAAAGGGGATAATCATTGCACAACGTCCAAGACGTTACAGGAGTCTCTAGTGCGAGTCACTAAAGAGTGTTATACTAATACTCCTGCTGTCTCATTTTGGTTGTCCTACTTTCCTTTTTGGGTTGTTCCAAAATGAATGTCTTGTTTCCTTGTTTAGCAAGACATATGTGGTCTTTATCATTTTACTTTATTCTACTCAAATTTCAATCACAACTTTTACTTTTGAATCATTTTATTAATAATTGCGCCAAATTGAAAGTGAACAATCAATACGGGACGGAGGTAGTAGTATTTTTCAATTGCTATTGGAAACATTCATCTACGCTTAGACCCACATTTTACAAAGGTCGTCATTCATCTGAACTCAAAATAAATATCATATTTTTATAAAAAAGCATTCTCTCTGTTCTATAAAATTCTTCCAAATTTCCTTTTTGGTCATCCCAAAAATTGCTTCCCACTTTTCATTTTTGGACAATTTTTGTGGCTCACATTCATTTTACATTTTTCTGTACAACTAAAATCATACGTTTCGACTTTACTCTCACCTCCTTAATATGCGAGCCAAGTCATTGTGGGAAGAATTTTATGAGAGGAAAGGAGTAACTTTTTAGTAGTACATAGTAAACATGACCTTACTTTTTAACTTAATTTTTGGTGATTTGAGTATTTGGAAAGTCAAAATTCACCTTAACTAATACTATCTCGTCCTATTTTATGTATTTTGTTTTAGTTTGATACAATTATTAATAAAGTGTTTGGAAAGTAAATGTTGTGACTAAAAGGGGCGGAGCCAAGGTGGGTAAGGGTGGTCAGTCGACCCCGCTGAAAATTTGAAAGTATAGAGCTCTCAAATATCTTCGATTTGATATATTATGGCCTCCGTAACTCATTACGAGTAAAAAAGTTATGACTTCTGCAAAATCAGCACAATCTAAACGTAAAATCTGCAAAAAAATTCAACCAAAATTTTAAAATAACGTATATTTAACTCATTACTTACGTGACATGATTTAGAAACATAACAAAGACAATCTCTCTTGTTACTATGACTGCCTATTTATTTAAACTAAATATAAAATATTCAACTCGGACAATAATGTCTAAAAACGATCTACCGTTTTCATTTGTATAAAGTTGATTTTCGACTCCTTTGAACCGTCTTTCTAGCTCCGTCACTCACTGGACATGGATTGTACATTTTCGGAGCTCCTCGGCGCACCTCTAACATGGCTGGGCGCACCCCTTTTCTTCCGTTATTGGACACATTTGTCCTTTTCGTTTCTTTGCCATTAATTTTGCAACGGAACTTCTTCATGTATCTAATACTCCGTATCTCTCCTTCACGTATCTAAATACTACGTACTCTGTATCTTGTACGGAGTATATTTGTAATGATTTTGTTGGTTTCATTTGGGTAATATTTGAATAAATTAATATATTTAATTTTCTATTATTAAAATATTAAAAAAATCAGATTTTGAAATTTTACAATGTGCCAAATTTAACAATATTTTTTTTATTAATTTAATATACTAATAAATAAAATATAGTCATAATAGAACATGTGAATAGTCCAAAATTCATTATGTTGCATTTATTTAAGAACATATAAAGTATGTATACTTCAAATTTCAATTGTAATTTCTTAGAAACAATCAATCTTATAACTAGACTTAGAAACAATCACCCTGAAGAGCAATACGAATCGCTAACCACCAAACGGGTGTGACACAACAATAATTGACCATATAGATCCTTCTAACGACATAATATCTAGCTGAATTGCCAATTCTTATTGTAGTCTTAAAACTAAAGACATCAACAAAAAATAGAGCAACTCAAACAAACTTAACGCGAAAGTATGACCATAAAAACAAAAATAATTGACAAATATTCCAAGCTCCTTTCCTGTCAGTATTCTTGAAGTATCATCTTCCGAACCCTAGAACCTGGATCGCTCCAATGCGGTGGTTCGAGAGGGGGGTGGAGGGCCGATATTATCAAATAGTTGGTATTATCAAAAACTATTTTCAAAGTACGTATTTTATTGGTTATGGGTGATGATTGTATTACCCCTTCCGTCTATTAAAACTTTGTCAACTTTCTTTTTTTGGATGTCCCACTAACTTTGTCACTTTCCCTTTTAAGTAAAGAATCTGTGGTTTCAGTTAATTCTCTCTCCTCTGCACAAACATCAACCACACAATTTTTACTTTATTAATCACCGTGCCGGTCAAACTTGGCAAAGTTTTAAGGGACGGGGGTAGTATTATTTAAAGTGATTATCTCATTTTTATTTTATTATTATTATATGATTTGAAACAAAAACATCCATCGATAGAGTAACCATTTTCTTATTATCATACATATTATATTGGACTGGAGTATTCATTTTTTATAATTATTTGATTCAATGTCTAATTTTTGTTTTATATTTATACTACGTACATAGTATGAAACGAGGTAAGAAACTCCGCATTTCATAATCGTATACAGTGTAGTGTTTTTCCTATTATATATACTCCCGTGTAAGTATAAGGGGAATGATGCAAACTGCAATTGTCAAAGATGTGGATGCATTCTACCATAAAAAAATTAAGTAAGGACATTTAAGTAAGGAGAGGTGCGCATAGCAATTTAGGAGGTGCAAACCCCAAAAGAAAATATAACACTTATTTTGATACAATTCGAATAGGAAAGTAAAATACGTAAAATAGGATAGAAAGAGTAAAATGTTGGTCAAAATGAGACTTGGAGAGTTGGAGTAGTTATTAAGTATAAATAACGTAACTCCCAACCTTATTTATATAAGGGACGGAAAATTAAATAGTATAAGAGCCCGTTTGGTAGAACCTATCGGTTTATTCTATTGAATTTTATGAAGTTCTGTCAGAAGATGTTGGATTGGCTGATTCTGCTGATTTAAAGAAAAATTTATATTTAAAATATATTGTATTAATAAAATAAATAAAATATTATATGAATAGTAATTAAAATGATACTCTACATTAACTCCAATCAATACAATCAGAAAAGTAAGTTAAACCTTACTTGTTATTATTATTATTATTTAATTTAACGCGCCTAAATAAAAAAAATGTATGATATAAAAATTGACTGATACACGTGATAAAATTAAAAATAAAATCATCAAATGGGTTCTATAAGAGTTCTACCCATTGTGAAATTTGTTTCCGGTGTGAGTTTTACCTCTAGTCAGTTAAATACGGTACGGGAATTAAACGGGGTTTAATACGTACGTGTTTTATTCGGTAACAAGGGTGAAAAAGACGGTCAAAAATTCGTTGAAAAATACGTTGACTTTTAAAAAACGTGTGAATACGTATACGTGTATAATACGATATATGTTACAAAAATTCGGACAAAAAATACGTAGTATTATTTTGAACATTCAAAGTATATACTTCACAGAATAAGATATATAGTAAAAACAAATAAAAGTATATACATATTCAAGTAGCATATCTCATTACCACACAAAATAATAATTTGTAATTTCATAAGTCGATGAAAAAAATAAAAATAGTAATCAAGTCCAAGACATAATTTTGTAAAATAAAGTCAAAAAATGAGGAGTAAAGACAATAGAATGAGACTAACTTAAAATCATTGTATTTATATGATCATCAAATAACACTCAAGTCAAACTCATGATTTTCATTAAGATGATGAATGACATATGGGAAAAGTACGTTGTGCGACTGATACACTTATTATTTTTTGTGTGTAAAAGCTTATAAAAAAAATATGTTAGGTTTAGAAAAACCTTAATTTTAATATGATATCATCATAAATCCAATAGTAGTTCAAGTTTTGATCTTTTAGGAAGCTAGCTTTAGTCACCATGCAAATAATTTTAGTGATTAATAATTGCATTGTAACAATACAAAAACATGGGTTACGAGGAGGAGGTTTCTTTTTTGCTTTTAAACTATTGTTGATCTCATATGCATTTTATGCGCTAATTCAATTGGTCAATTCATATTTCCTTTTTAAACGGACCGACATTATTTTTCGTTTTAAACGCGTTTTTTTGTTCAAAAAAATGATACTCCATACGTGTTTAAAACGCATTTTAAACGGAAAAAAGCTAACTAAGATTTTAAGGCAATATCCAATGGATGTGCGGCTTACCACGATCTCATCTTACTCCGTTTTCTCAGGGACAAAACCGACAATTGAATAGCGGAAACGGTACAGAACCAGAAACATACTCGGTCCGTATCATTTCCCACTTCTCTGTCAACTTCTGAATGACCTCCGTTAGAAATGGTCCCGTCATTCTAGCGCCTTCCGGTTCTGCGTCCAAAGCCGACGACGAAGATATAGGGGAATTTTAATAAAATAAATTAACACCACGACGGACGATGAGTTCTTTTAAGATGCGCCGGAAGGTGGTTCCGGCGGCGTCTGAGAACGGCGAATCAGCCGACAAGCTTGACCAGCTTCTCCTCTCCTCCGCCATCTCTAACGGAGAAGATCTCGGCCCCTTCGTCCGCAAGGCTTTTGCTTCTGGGAAGCCGGAGACTCTCCTCCAGCACCTCCGCCACTTTGCCCGATCTAAGGAATCTGAAATCGAGGAAGTGTGCAGGTCTCACTACGAAGACTTCATCACCGCCGTAGACGACCTCAGATCCCTCCTCTCCGACGTCGATTCTCTCAAGTCGTCTCTCTCCACCTCCAATTCTCAGCTCCAGTCCGTTGCCGTTCCTCTCCTCAGCTCCCTCGACACCTTTGTGGAGGCACGCAACAAGTGCAAAAACATCAGCCTCGCCATTGAATCTCTGCAAACTTGCACTCAATTAGTTGAGCTTTGCTTGCGAGCCAATTCTCATCTCTCGAAGAACAATTTCTACATGGCTTTGAAGTGTGTGGACTCAATCGAGCGAGACCTTCTGGATGAGACACCTTCATCTACGCTCCGCCGAATGCTTGAGAAGCAGATCCCCTCGATTCGATCGCATATTGAACGCAGAGTGAACAAAGATTTCGGGGATTGGCTTGTTGAGATCCGAGTTGTCAGTCGGAATTTAGGGCAGTTAGCCATCGGACAAGCCTCAGCAGCTAGGCAAAGAGAAGAGGACCTTAGAAGAAAGCAACGACAAGCAGAGGAGCAAAGCCGACTCAGTCTCAGGGACTGCGTTTATGCTCTTGAAGAAGATGAAGATGAGGACGGGATTAACGGAATCGGCCACGAGAGCAGAGACGGTTTCCACAATGGAGGAGGTAATGGTATATTAGGGTTCGATTTAACGCCATTGTATAGGGCTTATCACATACACCAGACTCTAGGGCTAGAGGATCGTTTCAAACAATATTATTTCGAGAACAGGAAGCTTCAATTGACATCAGATTTCCAGGTATCATCAATGACTCCCTTCCTGGAGTCTCACCAAACGTTTTTTTGCACAAATTGCTGGGTTTTTCATAGTTGAGGACCGTGTTTTGAGGACTGGCGGTGACTTGATATCCAAAATGGAGGTGGAGAACTTATGGGACACTGCTGTTAGTAAAATGTGTTCCGTCCTAGAAGATCAATTCTCCAGGATGCAAACTGCAAACCATTTGCTGTTGATAAAGGACTATGTAAGCCTTCTAGGAGTCACATTGCGCCGTTATGGATACCCTATTGATGCGTTGCTTGATGTTCTGAGCAAGCATAGGGATAAATATCATGAACTCCTCTTGTCTGATTGTCGCAAACAGATGTCTGAAGCTCTCTCTGCTGACAAGCTTGAGCAAATGTACATGAAGAAGGAATATGAATACTCGATGAATGTTATATCTTTTCAGCTTCAAACATCTAATATAATCCCTGCATTTCCTTACATTGCACCATTTTCATCAATGGTTCCTGATTGCTGTAGAATTGTGAGGTCATTCATTGAAGATTCAGTGAGTTTCATGTCCTACGGCGGGCAGCTTGATTTCTACAATATGGTCAAGAAATACTTGGACCGTCTTTTGAATGAGGTCCTTGATGGAGCTTTGTTGAAACTCATTGACACTTCCATTACTGGTGCCACTCAAGCTATGCAGATGGCTGCAAACATGGCGGTGTTTGAAAGGGCGTGTGATTTCTTCTTTCGCCATGCTGCCCAACTCTCAGGAATTCCGTTGAGAATGGTGGAGAGGGGAAGGAGGCAATTTCCTTTGACCAAAGCATCTAAAAAGGCAGAAGAGACTCTTTCTGGCCTGCTCAAGCAAAAAGTTGATGGGTTTCTCATGTTAATAGAGAATGTCAATTGGATGGCTGATGAACCTCTTCAAGGAGGGAATGAATATGCAAATGAGGTCATCATCTTCTTGGAGACCCTTGTCTCTACTGCCCAGCAGATATTGCCAATTCCCGTTCTCAAGAGAGTTTTGATAGATGTTCTTGCTCACATATCAGAGATGGTGGTTGGGGCATTGCTTGGTGAATCTGTCAAAAGGTTTAACATAAATGCGATTATGGGTCTCAATGTGGATGTTCAGCTCTTGGAATCATTTGCCGAGAGCCAAACTCTTTTGCTTTCTGGTGGAGATGGAAATGAGTTGAAAGGAGCATTGGTCGAAGCCAGGCAATTGGTTAATTTGCTCTTGAGTAACCACCCGGAAAACTTCCTTAATCCAGTTATTAGAGAGAGGAGCTATAATGCGTTGGATTACCGGAAAGTAGTTGCCATTTCAGAAAAACTGCGTGACCAATCAGATCGTCTATTTGGATCATTTGGAACTAGAGGAGCCAAACAAAACACAAAGAAGAAATCTCTTGACCAATTGATCAAAAGGCTCAAGGACGTTAACTGAATTTGCTTACTTAAATATTTGTATGTACCGGTTCCCTATGTTCTTTTGCTCATACTTGTGTTGATTATTTCTCATTCAATTTATGTCAGAGTATTTGAATGTCTCTTTCTTAGCATTGTGTATTTTACTCTATTGCAGATACCCATTTATTGTTGCATTCATTTCTTCATAATCAATGCTATCCAATAATATAATTTTTTTTCTGATCTATTTTGACTCTTTTCCTGCCAATGTGATGCATATTCTTCAGTCTTTAATTCAAAGTTCAAACCAACGCCTGGGCTTTTTCTGTTCCATGCTCCCATTTTTTCTTTAAGTTGATAATCCTGGTGCCCGTTTGGTAGAATTTAATAATGGCTAGTTATCTTTTTCCCTGACACTTGTCTACGCAATGGTTGAATTGGTTGATATTGAAACTTGTAACGCATGCGTTCTATTTTTGGTTGAAAACGGTATATTTTTGCTTTATTTTGCATATTATTTTCGCAATATACAAATATATTAACCAATCATCAGATTATCATTGAAATTCAGTCAATTTTTATTAAAGTAGTCTCGTTTGTACGAAAGGCTGAAATAAATGGGCTGAACTCAAACGTTCAGTGGTGTAGCGTTTGTATTTTTTCCCTTGTTTCCGGAGTTCCGATTCCCATCATATCCCTCCGTCTTCCGCCAAACTCCCTGCTCGGATTAAAATCAATATTTTACCATGAACGTGTTTCAAAGGGTGGTGGTCATGATAAAATATTGATTTTGATCGTTCGACCAATTAATTCTCTTGCTTTTGACGGATGTTTAAGTTTTATGAGTAGAGCTGCTTAATTATTGCTCAGCTTTCCAGAATCATAACAACTATGCAACACACTCTTAATAGTGCCATTTTGTATGTGCAGTATCTCGCTTTGATTATTGGAGTGATAAAATTACATTTTAGTTTGGTAGATATTCTCCCAACCCGAATAAACCGAAACCGAAGAAAACCGAACCGTAAACCGATTTGTCCACTCCTATTTTGCAATATCAGACTCTAAACATAACAATAATTATATCTATTTATGGAGTACTAAATAAAAACATTAAGGTTTTACTTTGAATTTTGTAAACGTTTTTACTCTGATCGAGAATATACTTTTTTATACTGCAGAATTCGGGGACCGGGTCACTTAGAGCATCTACTATGGGTGGTCATTTGGGAATCAAAAAAAATTTAATCCCACTTAATCCCCACTATGGGAGGTCACTAGGTTGATCCATCAACATGGAAGCTCACATATGGGATCGGACAAAAAATTAGAGGAGGCATGTGACTAACCAATTAAAAAATGTCATGTGGCTTTTTAATTTAGAATGAAACAACCAACCTTATCAAACATCCCCACACTCTCAAATTCCATTTATTATTGATTAAATTTAATTTATTGTAAGAAAAAGATTACACCAAAAAATCAGATAATTTTTTCTCTATAAATAGAGACCAATGAATGATATGTTTAGTCACTTCTAAATTTATCATTTTTTTCCCTCTTGCATTTTATTTTATCTGTTTTAGAATATTTTTTCCTCTGAAAATGTATCCAACTCGTTCTCTAACTAGATACAATGTCAACAACAAATTATAGTGGGTCAAATTTGATATATTTCTTTATCAAATTATATAAATTAATAATGGTGGAATATACCAAAAATATAGATATGGAATGTACAAATTTTAAGTGACCTAAGTCATCATAGTAGAGTGAAAGTATGATAGGTTAGAACTTAAAAGAGATTAAGTTTTTTTTTATGGGAAATGATGTGGAAGAGAGAGGAGGGGATCAATACTCGTAATAAAGCCAGAATGACCTTCCATTTACGTTTGGATCCCAACTACCAATCTGCCCTGAATGACCGATAGTTGGGTAGACCCACTCATATACCCATCGTTTCTTCTAACTTTTTCTTCACAATTAAGCCCTAACTTTGACCCGAGAAAATGGCCCCATCCGCTAAACTCATATCCGCGTTCCTCGCCTGCTTCTGCATCCTCTCTGCCGTTTCGCCGGCGATCGGCGACCAATCTCTAACGGTGTACGATGTCCTACGGCAGTACGGCTTCCCGGTCGGCCTCCTCCCGAAGGGCGTAACAAGCTACGAGCTGGACTCCAGCACCGGCAAGTTCTCTGTGTATTTGAACGGCTCCTGCAGCTTCACCATCGACGGATACCAGCTCAAGTACAAGAGCACCATCACCGGGACGATCTCCGAGGGCAAACTCTCCGATCTCAGCGGCGTTCAGGTGAAGATACTCTTCTTCTGGGTGAACATCATCGAGGTGAGTAACGAAGGCGACGAGATCGACTTTTCCGTCGGAATCGCTTCCGCCTCCTTCACGATCGACAATTTCTACGAGAGTCCTCAGTGCGGATGTGGATTCGATTGCGTGAATGGGGGCAAATTGGGAATTGCGCCGGTTACGAAGGTCAATCCCAAACGCCTAGTGTCTTCTTCCTGAATTGGTTACTGATTATTCTGGTCTGTTATTAGAAGCCAGTTTTATGGCCCCATCAATGGATCAATTCGGGTCCGTTGTAGTTATATGACCCGATTTGTTTAATCCCACATTAGTGATCCCTAATTATTCGGAAACTGTTTGTCTTTGTTTAATTTGCTATAAATAAACTTCTCTGTGGATGTTATCGTAAAAATAATGATCTATGACTGCCTTAGATTCCATAAATCCAAAATCAGGCGATGCTTTTGTGTTGTTCAAATTTCTTCTTTGAGATTTTGAGTGTTAAAGTTAGATATTGCATAGACATAAATATGATCCATTCATTAGTTTTTCTAAAATTTTTAAAACGCTAATATGTGTTCAAATGATTTGATAATTGATATACACTACTCTATTCCACATTTGTATAAAGGACAAGGCAGAACCGAGTATTGAGTCGATAAAATTTTAAATGGAATTTTTTATCTAAAAACTAAGGACTACAACATTTTTAAAATTTGGGTGGATCGGGGTCGAGTTTATGGGGTGATTATGCATTTTGTATGACACAATCTTGACAAGATTAAGACAGTATTATTCTTTAATCCAAGCCATACATGGATCTTTTTCTCATATTCTACAAACTCAATACTATACATTTTCACAATGATGCGGTTTTAATGTTTCATTCCTGTTTGGAAAAAACCCGGTGAAATTCTTATAAATACAGGTAAAAAAGTTGATTATTGCATAATTTGGTGGGCTGAATCAAAATCAATACAACCTTACTTATTTTTTGTTATTGTGTAATTTGAAGGGTTAAACCTTACTTATTTTTTGTTATTGTGTAATTTGGTGGGTTAAACCTTACTTCCTTTTGTTATTGTGTAATTTGATGGGTTAAATTAAAAGTTACGTGTTTGATAAAAATGACTCATTTTATACTGTTGAGTTTAATCCAACACGATATAGTAAATATATGTATGAACACTCAGTTTTTACGTGGAAACCCGAAAGGGAGAAAACCACGGGACTTTTTAGGCTAATGTCCAAGCCCTCTCATTCTCATTAGGACTCTCCTCACCATTACATAGTATAATATTCAAGCTCCTATTAATGGAGGATCAAGCTAGTCTAGAGAAGAAGAAGCATGAAGGAGGAAAAGGGGATCCATAATATGGAGGGAAACTCCTATATTTATAGAAAATAGGGGAAGGGGATGCTCTCCACCCTAATGGGCCGCATGGGCCGGAGTGGGCCCAAATGGCTAAAGTGGGCCGGATGGGCCGAAATGGGCCTAGCTGCTCGGACTCCGTACTACGTAAAGCCTTGGACTCATGAACAGTAATAGGCCGGGATAATATATCCCAACACAAGTCCCCCAGTTTCTTGAGTAGTGAGCCCGCGAATCTGCTCGAGAAAATATACTCTGCCTGCGCTCTTCCTCTGTCTTGCTGGAAACTGTGTCTTCACATAATCATCATATATGAGTGAGTGTCTGCACTCCTGAACGTAATCTACCAGTGAGGCACCCCCCTTCCCGACAGGGTCGGGCGAAGGGTGCTCCTCCACGGGCACACTCCCCCTGAATGCATCAGGCGGGAGTAAAGAACTCTGACTCGAGCTTTCCAATCGGAGAAGCTTAGAGGTCCATCATCTATAAACCGACGTCGCGGTACTGTCAAAACATGATGCACGTGTGTATGTATGGATGTATGAGGTATGATGCATGAATGTATGTATGCATGTAATGTATGTATGTAATGTATGAGAGAGGGAATGCAAGATGTGATAGAAGCAGTAGCTCTCATCGATAACCCGGGCATGTCAGCGCCGAGAAGCAGACGCGCTGCGTAAGACGGGTCCCCCATCCGAGATGGCATGGGCGGAGCCGAAGGTGGACTAGACATGATGCCGCCGAGGGGCCAATCATGCTGCATACGACGGGTCCCCCATCCGAGATGGCATGGGCGGAGCCGGAGGTGAACTAGGCATGATGCCGCCGAGGGGCCAATCGAGCTGTATAAGAGATGTTCGTCGCCATCCTGGAAGGGATGGGCGAGCCGAACACGAGCCAGACACGATGGCGCTGGGGCGCTGATCGTGCTGCATATGAGACGTTCGTCGCCATCCTGGAGGGGATGCATGATCCGAACGTGAAAGAGACACGATGGCGCTGAGGGGCCGATCGTGCTGCATAAGACGGTCGTCCTGAAGGGAATGTGCGAGCCGAACCGTGAAGCCAGGTACGATGGCGCTGAGGGGCCGATCGCACTGCATAAGACGTTCGTCGCCATCCTGGGAGAGATGCGCGATCCGAACGTGAAAGAGACACGATGGCGCTGAGGGGCCGATCGTGCTGCATAAGACGGTCGTCGCCATCCCGGAGGGAATGTGCGAGCCGAACCGTGAAGCCAGGTACGATGGCGCTGAGGGGCCGATCGCACTGCATAAGACGTTCGTCGCCATCCTGGAAGAGATGCGCGATCCGAACGTGAAAGAGACACGATGGCGCTGAGGGGCCGATCGTGCTGCATAAGATGGTCGTCGCCATCCCGGAAGGAATGTGCGAGACGAACCGTGAAGCCAGGTACGATGGCGCTGAGGGGCCGATCGTGCTGCATAAGATGGTCGTCGCCATCCCGGAAGGAATGTGCGAGACGAACCGTGAAGCCAGGTACGATGGCGCTGAGGGGCCGATCGCACTGCATAAGACGTTCGTCGCCATCCTGGAAGAGATGCGCGATCCGAACGTGAAAGAGACACGATGGCGCTGAGGGGCCGATCGTGATGCATAAGACGTTTGTCGCCACCCTGGAAGGGTCGGACGGGCTGGACGTGAGCTGGGTACGATGGCGCTGAGGGGCCGGTCGTACTGCATAAGACGGTCGTCGCCATCCTGGAGGGAATGGGCGAGCCGAACCGTGAACTGGGTATGATGGCGCTGAGGGGGCCGATCATACTGCATAAGACGTTCGTCGCCATCCTGGAGGGAATGGGCGAGCCGAACCGTGAACTGGGTATGATGGCGCTGAGGGGCCGATCATACTGCATAAGACGGTCGTCGCCATCCTGGAAGGGAATGGGCGAGCCGAACCGTGAGTCCGGACACGATGGCGCTGAGGGGCCGATCGTGATGCATAAGACGTTCGTCGCCACCCTGGAAGGGATGGACGAGCTGAACGTGAGCTGGGTACGATGGCGCTGAGGGGCCGGTCGTACTGCATAAGACGGTCGTCGCCATCCTGGAGGGAATGGGCGAGCCGAACCGTGAACTGGGTATGATGGCGCTGAGGGGCCGATCATACTGCATAAGACGTTCGTCGCCATCCTGGAGGGAATGGGCGAGCCGAACCGTGAATCTGGACACGATGGCGCTATCGGGCCGATCGTGATACAGAAAAATAGTGATGATCATCTCATGGCCCTCGGCCTGTCGGTGAGTGATAATCGTCTCGCGGCCCTCGGCCGTGCTGGTGATGTGTCAAGTCTCTCTCCTGATTGGCTGTGAGAAGCCGATCGTCTGCCAGGACTCCATCCGGGAAAGAATGGTGAGCCTGAAATAAATCTGGGCGATGTCCCTCCTACCTGATCTGGGGAGCTGATCGTCGTTCGTCTACCGTATCCGTGGTCCTATGTACGGACCGCTATGTGGTGTACACTCGGCACGCAACAGACTCCGATAAAGAACTGGTTCTTCATGTCGGATCCATGGAGCTGGTCTTCGTTCGTCTACCGTATCCGTGGTCCTATGTATGGACCGCTAAGCGGTGTACACTCGGCACGCAACAGACTCCGGTAAAGAACTGGTTCTTCATGTCGGATCCATGGAGCTGGTCTTCGTTCGTCTACCGTATCCGTGGTCCTATGTATGGACCGCTAAGCGGTGTACACTCGGCACGCAACAGACTCCGGTAAAGAACTGGTTCTTCGTTCTTCCCAAGTCTCGTGAGTACTGGTCTCCTGGTTTCGCAGGAGACGTTCGTCATCCCAACTATGAGAAGAAACAGGTTTATCCACGTCGGGATTCCCTATTCTTCGTTCGTCCTTGTCGTGGTCCTACTAATCTTCTTACTTCGAAGAAGACGTTTGGTCATCCCACGATCGCAAGGAGGAACAGGTTTATCCACGTCGGGATTCCCTATTCTTCGTTCGTCCCTGTCGTGGTCCTACTAATCTTCTTGCTTCGAAGAAGACGTTCGGTCATCCAACGATCGCAAGGAGGTCACTGGTTTATCCACGTCGGGATTCCCTGCTTCGTCGTCCCATGCTCGTGGCCCTACTAGCCTTCTGCTTTAGCAGAAGGTGTTCATCGAACCACGGGTCATGGGAGGAACTGGTTTATCTTGCCGAGATTCCCTTTGGTACGTCTAGCCCCCCCCCCCCCCCCCCCCCCACGTTCCTACTAGCCTCCGCGTCGGGAGACGTTCGGCATACGCGGCGAAGGAAGATCAGGCATACCTCGTCAAGACTCCCTCTCTCATAGGATCTCGTCTCCCCTTCTCCCCATCTTTCTTTTTTTTTTCTTTTTTTCTTTTTTTTTTTTTTGAGGGAGGAAAATACGTTCGTCGGTTCCAAGAATAACCCCAAGTGATGTCACACATAATGTCATGCGAAGGCGATGGTCACCCTCATGAAGGGAGGGGTGAGCCCGATCGCTAACTCAAGAAGGTCGGCATTGGGAGCCGATATACAATGATCATAATGTCGCTGAGCAGTCGGTCCTGATAATGGAGATGACAATAGTGTCCGGTCAGGCCGATTTATCCGAGCAACGGCTCTCATCCAACGCAGCGCGGGGATGAAACCGGTCTTCAAAAGATAAATATGTCGTGCCAAGAGGCCGAACATAACATGATAGCGTCGGCAGTGAGAGGCCGATCGTGATATAATAACATCGGTAATGAGAGACCAGTCTGAGAAAACAAGCAACGGCCGTCATCCGCGAGGAGCGGGGATGAAACCGGTCTTCTAATATGGGAAGCACGCCGAGCCGGGAGGCCGGTCGTGATTTAATGGTGTCGGCAATGAGAGGCCGACCTGAAATCAAGCAACGGTCCTCGTCCGCGCAGTGCGGGGACAAGGCCGGTCTTCAAATATGATGGTGGCACCGTACCAGGAGGTCGGTGGCCGTGTATGACGTCGGCGCTGGGGCCGATCCAAAGAGAGATAATCAGCGGTCCTCATCTGCGAGGAGCGGGGACGAGGCCGATCTTCAAGTATGGAAAACACGCCGAGCCGGGGGGCCGGTCGTGATATAATGATGTCGGCAATGAGAGGCCGATCTGAGATCCAGCAACGGTCCTCCTCCACGCAGCGCGGGGACGAGGCCGGTCTTCAAATAAGATAATCATGCCGTGCCGAGAGGCCGGTCATGGTATAATGGTGGCGTCAGACGGCCCTCGGCCGTGACGATCTCTTCTAGGCCCTCGGCCTCTGAATGACGGGTGGTCGTCTCACGGTTCTCTGTCATGGCATTCGCCTCTAGACCTCGGCCTCTAGGTGTTCTTCCTAGGCCATCGGTCTCTGGGGTGGAGATGCTCGTCCCACTGCTCTCAACCGTGGTGGTCTCCTCTAGGCCCTCGGCCTCTAGGTGGAGATGCTCGAGAAAACGGTCCTCAGCCGTGATGGTCTCCTCTTTAGCCGGCCCTGCACGTCTTCAAGACTCGGGCCGAGCGTCTTCTAATCATTTCACTCGAGCGCGTCGAGCGGCTTCAGCTGCGCTATAAGAATGGTAACGGGCCGCACGACCCGACAATATGTATACACACATAACCATCTGCATGGTTTTCTTTCTAACACCCACGATTACCGGCCTATGGGTCATCGTGACCCTCGGCCCGGCTCATCGTGCGGGGTTAATGGACGTAGCAGCTCGCGGCGGGGCCAATTAGCAGCCCGCCGAACGTCACATAGAGATATTCATCGGTCTGTGAGTTTTCAAACTCAGACCCAAGTTGGTCGCACCGCCCCCGGAAAAACGAGGTTGAGTGCTTTGGTGCCTTCGGGCCCCACAGGCCGCGTTGGCAATAGTCACTCTGCGCCTGATGGCGTAGATGGTACCAGGGTACGATCGTCGCTCGAGCACTCGGTGTCGTGCGGACTAATGCGTAACCCCCCAAATTAAAACGCGTCATCAGGGCACTACCCCTCTGGAGACGCTCAGATCGCAAATCAAGCTGATCGAGAGTGGGCCATCGGGGCCACAAGAAGTCAAATACTTAATAAAATGTTAGCTGAACTAACCATCACTTGAGCCTCGCTCAACATTATTTAATTCGGGACATTTTATCCCTAATAAATAATAGTGACATAACCGGTAATAACAATGATACTTCCCTATCAAAGGCCATTCAAGTATACTCCATTCGCTAATTAAAGCCGATCAGGAGCGGGCCAACAGGCACACAACAACCAGTCATTAAATTTAAACGACGATAGAAGTAATTATCACTTAGAGCATCACTCTCATTATTTAATTTCGGGAGTTTTAATCCCTAATAAATAATGGTGATAAAAATACTAGCAATACTAATAGCTTAAACTATTAACAAGTAAGTGTACCAATTTAAAGGTGTAGGTACTTAGCTTTGGGGTAGATGTTCGGCCAGCTAGCATGAGGGAAATTAGTTTGATTCCCTTTGCAATTTTGACTTAGTCAACCTTCTCCAAAACTCATCCCTTGACCACCCCTCCTCTACTCACGTGGCTTTATGAGGACCAAGCCATCTGAACGATATGTAGTACTCCACATCCTTTGGACAACAAGCTGAACTGTTGAAGCATCGGCTCACCATCCCAAGGCCAAACGGTGTGCTGTCTGTTTGGGGACCGCTTGCTAGCGGTTGCGACGGAAGCTGCAGCGGAGCAAGGGTGGCCGGAAAAGCTAGTCTCCAGCGGAAACTCGAACGAACAACTGGGTATACCTCTTTTGAGCTCGAAACCACCATTAATGGTGGAAGTCATGGAGCTCTCAACGAACAGAACCTTCAGGTCGCGTTGGCAGGGATGCTGGTGCCCGAGTAGCGGCTGGCCAGGCAGAAAGTGACCACTTGTGACCTGCCGGAAGCCGGCGGCGAGCGACAGTGCCTTGTTCCGGGCGGAGGGACTAAGTTCGAGCTGTGAACAGTGCCCCTGCGATGGGCATGGCTCTGCTCGCAGCTAGCGGTGTTCCTCTAGAAACGGAGCGGCGAGACCCAGGACGCGGCAGCGAGCTCCGCCTGGTACAGCTGGACCCACCGGAAGGTCCATGGTGGCGGGAACGACGGCGGCTCCGGCGACCTCAAAACAGATCTGGAAAAAATCCAGATTTGGGCTTCTCAGAATCCATAGCTTCTCCCTGTTTTCATCTCCAGATTCTTTTTCCTTTTTTCTTTTTTGCTGGAATCAGTCCACTTCGTATGAATTTCTTTTTGTAGAAGCTGAAGAACACGCTTAGTCTTTTTGAACTGATTCCCACAGACGGCGCCAGTGTTGAGTTTAATCCAACACGATATAGTAAATATATGTATGAACACTCAGTTTTTACGTGGAAACCCGAAAGGGAGAAAACCACGGGACTTTTTAGGCTAATGTCCAAGCCCTCTCATTCTCATTAGGACTCTCCTCACCATTACATAGTACAATATTCAAGCTCCTATTAATGGAGGATCAAGCTAGTCTAGAGAAGAAGAAGCATGAAGGAGGAAAAGGGGATCCATAATATGGAGGGAAACTCCTATATTTATAGAGAATAGGGGAAGGGGATGCTCTCCACCCTAATGGGCCGCATGGGCCGGAGTGGGCCCAAATGGCTAAAGTGGGCCGGATGGGCCGAAATGGGCCTAGCTGCTCGGGCTCCGTACTACGTAAAGCCTTGGACTCATGAACAGTAATAGGCCGGGATAATATATCCCAACATATACCTAGACTACACATTTGACAAATCAAACTGAATAGGTTGAACTAGTGCAAAAACTTTCAATTATATTAGGATTTTTTTTAAATCAAACTGAATAGGTTGAACTAGTGCATAAACTTTCAATTATATTAGGATTTTTTTACTTGGACTGTAATCTGTACCAGACCAGATCAGACCAGACCAAATCAGCAAATTACAGTCTAAGTAAAAACATCCTTAAACATGTCCTGGTGCAAGAAAATATCGGCGCGTATCTACCTTACCACGCAAGGTGTCTGACCACTAATAGACATTCCAAAAAAAGGTTAAAGTACAGAAAAGGCATCTGTGGTTTGGTCTGTTTTCAGACAGGGACACATGTTTCATTTTTTTTAACAAAGTGAGACATGTGCTTCAATTCCGTTATCACAGCAGGGGCATGACGTCTAACGCTGTTAGAAAATTTAATCCCGATTTTCAAAAGTCTCTGAAACATTAAAAGAAAAATACTCGGAGGTGCGCCTCATCAAGGAAACCAACAAACTGTCGTTATCTTTGAATTTTTCGGCTCTTTTTGGATTATTTTTTTAAAATGAATTTGTTAATATCACTTTACCAGCGGATTTTTTGGCGACATGGTGGCTGGAAACGAAAAAAGAAAGATAGTTTGTTGGTCTCCTTGACGAGGCGCACCTCCCGGTATTTTTCTTTTAATGTTTTGGCGATTTTTGAAAATCGGGGTTAGATTTTCTAACGGCGTTAGACGCCATGCCCCTGCTGTGATAACGGAATTGAAACACATGTCTCACTTTGTTATAAAATGAAACACGTGCCCCTATCTGAAAACGGTTTAAACCACATATACCTTTTATTATGTACTTTTCCCAAAAAAAAGTCAACGATAGAAAATTTCAACCACGCCTTTCATTTATTTATGCAAGGCACCCTGGGTGAAGACAGTGGAGCAAGGAAAAATTGTCATTTCTTCAAAACCAGGCAATAATATCATCCCGTGCTTCTTAGACACTCGGATATCATCCAGTGCTTCTCAGACAGTGCTTCTCAGACACTCCGTAACTGTTTTAAAAGAAAAATAGTTACCGAGCATTCATTAATAATAAAAATAATCAACAAAAAAGCAATTCAAATAACCTAATGCCAGAATGGAATAATATAGAATTCAAAAGTTCTAGACAAGCAATATATCCGTTAATCCCGTAATGAGTAGACTCTCTTATCAATATAGACAAGCAATATATCCGTTAATCCCGTAATGAGTAGACTCTCTTATCAATATAGAAGCTTTTGCTACTTAACCAATAGTCAAAACTAGAAAAAGTACTAAAAATATTTTGCGATAGAAATTAAACAAACTTCTACCGACAAAGAAATGCTAGTAATAGAAAACTTGGTTTATCTAGTCACCAGAATGAAAAACTAGAATCCTCAATTTAATTAGCTAATGAAAAGGATTTGCAAATATCATCGGTTTGACTAGACATTTAAAATAAAGATCTAATTGAGCACAATCTTTATCTTATAACATGACGGTGGTTCAGCGGAATAATTGAGGTCTTGGAGTTGCCGATGTTTCAAGTTAACCTCCCAAAAAATCACGCAAAACAAGAATTGCTAATTCGCCATCCACCAACATTAAAATTTCAACAACTGATCGGTTTCACCGATGAGGAATACACAAATGGTAGACATCGTTAAAAAGAAACCCCATAAAATAATTTGAAAATTCTTATGAAGGAGATGTTTTATCTTTATGAGGAGAAAAATGATTGAGAAGAAAAACGGAAGATGGCTAGGATTTTTTTCTTTCGTCGCTCTCCAGGTCACAGAATGAAGATGTTTCATCAAATGAATTGATTGACTTTACTAATTACTACAACAGATTGTTTTTGTTATTTTTCCGTATAAATATTCCTTGATATAATCACTTAAATAATGTTTTTATATTTTAATTCAGTTGCTTAAGTTTTTCATCATTTTAATGGAGTCAAAGACTTACTATTTTTTGTTTGGCAATATGATAGAATAAAACAAAATGACTCAATAAATTATATGCGCTTATTTGTTATGAATTCACAATCAATCCATGTAATTTTGACGTAATTTTTGTCATGAGTCATCCGCAAACACTCGTTGTATTTTAATACAGGGGTAGAATTGCGGATATGAGACTCTTTATTGCATCAGACTATTTATTACATCGTTGGTGGAAGCTTTTGTGACGATGAGGTAATATTATTATCGTTTTTGTAATTCAGTTGGTTAAGTAAGCATTTTGGGCACTATCAATGTGGGGCCAACCCACAATTTTTAGAGCAGTAGAGCAGGTCCCACTTTTATGTTTTTTTAAAGTGGTCCCACTTTTATGTTGAATCCCAAATTTTTTAATGGAAATTCCAAGCCCATTTTTTAAATCAAAATCCCAATTTATAAATGCACAATACTAGTTAATTCGGCCACTAATAGATGTGTCCTATCACACCGTAATATACAAGAATTTCTTAGTTATTTGGGCCACTAATCCAATAGTCCATTAATTACTACTATGTATTTAGTTATTCTTTACATAGTTTATTTTTAATTGGGAAAATGGAAAATAATAATCCAGCCTTTTAGCGGTCTTTTTATAATAATCCAACCTTTTGATTATTCATGAATAATCCAACATTTGCACCTCATCTTCATTCACTAGTTCCTGACCGGTTGATGATCTGCTATTCCAAGCTATTTTCTTATCTTTGCAAATCATTATACCATAAATTTCATCTTTCACAAAGATAATATTTTGCAGAGATAAGAAAATAACTTGGAATAGTAGGTCATTAACCGACCAGGGACCAATGAATGAAGATGAGGTGCAAAGGTTGGATTATTCATGAATAATCAAAAGGTGGGATTATTGAAAGAAGACCGCTAAAAGGTTGGATTATTAGTTTCCATTTTCCCTTTTTAATTTGATAGTTTTACATTTCACATGTTTATCGTTCATTTATCGATGAGTGCTGATTTTGTTGTATGATTACAGATTAGATGATTTATTTTGATTGTAAGAGCTAAAAGACATAAAACATTATCACACTAATTGAGGTAATTTACAAGACAATGGAAGGTGAGATAAAAGTGAACAATGATGGAGTAATAAGGATGAAAAAAGACGAAAATGAAGTTAGAAATTGAAGACAAAGATAAAGTCAGGGAGACCATGAGGCAAGGAAGCTTATGACGGCGTCCTTGACAAAGATGCTCAAAGAAATAATTAAGCAAAAAATGACACGATGACCAAACATAAACAAAATTAAGACATGGTCAGAAGACTCAAAACCAAACACGGCAGACCGATATTAAGAATTAAAATTATCAAATACTGGGTACGAAGTATTTGACAAATATGAACTTTTTATTTCATAAAGTTATGTAGAGAATCACGTTAATTACTTTTTCAATATTTCATTAATAAACCTTCAAAAAAAATCATTAATAAAATATGTTATTAATATAGTTTTCCTTTAATATACTTTTCCCGTAATTCAATATACCCAGCAAATTCAGGTGCTTTTATAAGAATTTCAACCATAAATTCAAGTGAACGTGTAGTAATCCTTAATTGTCAAGATTTGATTTGTTCAAGTTTATTTTGATTTATTTAAATCTAATCTAATCTAATTTGGATTGAAACTAGAATTGAAGTGAAAACATTATAAATCAATAAATTCTCCCCGCTGTAGATTTTCTTAGGTAGCACAGAAATCCCGTTTACGCGGTTCTGACGAGGACGTCGTTGTTCTTTTCATTGATTTCAGAGTAGTTGTTCCTTTAAATAAAGGAATAGTTTTAGAATGTTTTCTTTTGGACTGAAATTCGCTGGTCTAGTTTGGTCTGATCTGATCTGGCCGTCTGATATCTAAGTATTCTGTAATTACGGAAGTTAGGTCTGATCTGATCTGGGACTGAAAATAGTCCAAAAGAAAACATCCTTGTTCATTTATATGCAAATCCAACACCTAAACGCCTAAACTCAATTAAGAACTTCATTCAGGACTGAGTGAGCACTAAACTATTTTTGCAAATCATATGGCGGCCTTCTGTTTTAAATGAGGTTGAGAGTGAAATTATATTTATTGGAGCATGTCCAAAACTATAATGTGTATGATGCCTATGTTGAATGAGATGGATGTGAATACATAAATGGAAAAATATTTCTCTCCTGATTTAAACGGTATATATGTTTTAGTATGTTTTTTTACGCGGTATTATTTTTAAAAACAGTGAAATTTATTACGGAGTACGTAGTATTATTTTTTAAAATAATTTCATCAATTTCATTATGAGTTTTTTTTTGGGACAATTTTTTCTAATCTATATAGTATCTGCTCAATGTTAATGTTAACATTCTTGAACTGTGATGTGATTCGAACTTGTGACCTCCTTCTTGGGAGTGCCACAATGATACCATCATACCATCAGGTGTTTGACAAATGAGAGTTTGCTCTTAGTATTCGGTAATTAGAAAAAAGATAATAAGACGTAGCTTTCAAAGTTGCTTAAAACCGTTTATCATGTTATGGAATCAGTAATCACTATTTTTTTAGCAGTATGGAATCACTATTATGTCTCAATCACTAATACATCTGCTATAACGTACTCAATATAAAAATAACATAAAGATCTGTGATAAAACAAAGTTAAAAAAGGACTCAAAACAATCCAACGACCTAAGCAATCGATTTCTTTCTATGGAAGTCAGAAAACCGTTTCCCGGGCAAAAGAAGCAGCTCTTTAATCTTGCTTGTCCAACACCCTAACACAGTAATGGAGGAAGATCTAATAGTGCTGCTTAGTAGCGTTGTTTTTCAAGACCACCTGCCGGAGCTCAGCCGCATCAACCTCCGCCACCTGACTCTCCGGCCGGTAATAGCCGGTTACCGGATCTGGAACCCAAGCGGTGGCGTTCCTCCCCGATTCCTCTGTTCCTCTCTTCAGCATCACCTTACTCCTCGCCACGTTTACTCCACCAGCAGTTGCCTGAGCCGCCGTCGCAGCATATGTCCTGATTCATTTGAATGAAATTTATTAGTTATCACAAATTAACTTCCAAACCGAATGAATTAAAATTGAAATCTCAAAAAGTCGATTAAGCTCTGACGAAATTGATTTTTTATATACAAACTAACGTCAGTTTTGTCTGAACTTTTAAGATGAAACATGAAGGTTTTATAAACTGGATCTAAGAAATTCAATTGTAATACCTGCTCAAAGGAACAGAGACTCTTTCAGAAATGAAAGCAGAGACGAGTTTGGCGTTGGAGATAGAACGAGACATCTGGTCTGGTCTTACTGAATGAGAGAGACGGAATGGTTTATGCTGCGCCGCCGTGAACGGAGGATGGCTGAGAGCATCACCAATGGGACCTGTTGACATGCATAAAAATCGATGCATCATCCAAAGTTAACATCGTTACTCATATTTATTTCTCCAATGCGGACTATGTAATGCTGAGGTGTAAAAATTTAATGTGGACAGTGTTGCAATGAATGTCGTGATACAACAGCCTCCTTGACATGCTTACTCACCAAATTTGGAACGGTTTTCACACATAGGAGAATATTGATTTGATTGTTTAATTATTTTAAAAATAAAAGACATATACGTAGTGTTTATATGGGTTGTGAACACTACCCATTGGAGCAGTTTTTCGGTTCCCTACATTACTCTTACATGACATGGAACAACATTCCATTTATTGATTGCCATGTGTCAAAGTTTGTTCCATGTTAACAATGTAGCATTAAAGATGCTCTGAGCTTTTATTTTCTTCCGCTTCGGCCGCGGAGAAATGGAACCGGTTTTTAATTTTTAAATCTGTTGTTTTTGGCGTTAGGGTTGGACGAGTGAGGATTATAGGGAAATAAACGACCATTTATATAGGCGTAGAGAGAGTGTACAGCTCGGACTCGTTCGTTTTTTAAATTGTAAATCAATCAACATCAATGACCGATAATTAAAGTATAGTCCGGCTAAATGTTTATTTCTTTCTATTTTTGCGCAAAATGTTTATTTCTTTTCGTCTCAAATGTGGAATCTCCCACCCCAAGAGCCCTCATACCCTGATCCGACAAGATGGTGAAAGAGTAAGTCACGATAACTTAGTTAACAAAGTGGTAGTAGGTCATACACGCGTGCGTACCAGAGGTCCAACCTTATTTCAGGTTCTGTAACCTCCACCCGGTCGTTGCGGAGATTCAAATCTTAGTCCATTAATTCAAATTTCCCACCACTCGATCGACTGAGTTACCCGTGCATGTAAATGTTTATTTCTATAAATAAATATTTTCGAATCTAAACTAATCAGGGCATGTAAGTCTTTGTTTCTGATTTTTCTCATGTTTGTCTATGCAAAATATATTTGGTGTATCTGTAATAGAAAAAAGAAAAATATTCCTCTTACACATATTCTCATATTCTTGTGTCTCAATTTTATGTTCTCTTAAAATGTTCTTCTTTATCAACTTATCTTTAATATCCAATTTTTATAAGACAAATTTTTACTTAAACTTGAATAGACTTGAGTGTTTTGATTTGGTCTGATCTGATCTGATGTCTGATCTCTATGTACTTTATAATTGTGGAAGTATGATCTGGTCTGGTCTGGGCTGAGACCGAAAATAGTCAAAAAGAAAACATCTTAACTTAGTTTCAATTCTCGATGTGTAAATATGATTTTTAAAACTCGTTTGACATCACTAAAATTGGTCGAATCCATTGAAATAGATGAAATTCAGCATAAAACGGTTTAATGGAATCTGTTAAGTTATGGAATAATATATTCAAACTATGTAGGATATTATTTTAATAAATTAAAAAAATGCACATGAAACTAGCTAATATGACGAGTTTGGCGTTGGAATGTAACTGACAGAGTAATGTTTATCTTGAAATAAGTTATCAAATGGGAACCAATATCTTGAAATGTAACTCAATGAGTAATGTTTATTATTACACTTATTTCAATTCAAATCACTGTTATGTACTCCGTATATTTTATTGTTGTTTGGGAAGCATACGTGTTAAAACGAAAATTTATAATTGATATTATATTCGTACATATAAAATCATTGTAGTTGCAATGACCAGCCAAATAAAAAAAAAACGAGTCGTGTGTTTTATTCCCGTTTTAATCTAAAATGGTTCTATTCAAAATTTGCAAAACTCATGTACTCCGTAATAGATAAGATGTTTTTAATTAGACTCAAATTTACTAGTCTGGTTTGAACTGGTCTTGTTTGTTCTAGTGTGATCTGTGTGTATTTTATAATTGTTCAAGTCTAATTTAATTTGGTTTGATCTGATCGGTATGATCTGGTTTAGGAGTAAAAATAGTTCATTAGGTAAAAACATTCATAGTACCTAACATACATGTATGTTCATGTTAATTCACGTGCTAAAATCGAGATGATATTTTTATATATGAATTATCAAATTGACATTTTTACTAGTAATTCAGTTAATATGTCAATTAAATGTTGGTCAATATCTTTCGGGAAACTGTGATTCTATTTTTGCACACCCACAATTCAACTATTTTCAATGCTATTCCCATCATTTTCTCTTTTTTTTTTATATATTTTTTTTATTCCCATCATTTTCTCAATACTAAGTATTAGCATAAGCGATAGTTCCAATCAGCGGCGTCAACGCGTCGTCTGACCAGTGGAGGACTTGGACGGCCACCTTCCCCGCTTAAAGCTTTGCCAGCGCACCTACTCGTCGCACGCGATTCTTACTTCGTCCACATCTCATTAAAACGTGTCTAAAGATTTCCAAAAAAGAAGTTTTTTATATTTTCAAGGTTAAAGCTGCACCGTGCAAAATGCCAAAATTAAGGTACAAAAAGATTTGCTACAACTCGCCAACTCCCATTGACGTTTTCTTTTTGAAACAATACCATTTTATTAAGCATGAGAAGAAGAATGAGAATCGTTCAATAAGAGTTGACTTAGACATGAACGTGATAAATTAAACAAAAACAATCACACTCCTCAATAGCTTGCTTAGATAGAACATCAGTAATCATATTTATTGATCGTCGAACATGGTGAACAAAAATATGTCAAAACTCGCCATCACGTGTTCAAGGATGTTTTTAATTGGATTGTTTTCAATTGTATATTCTCTTTTAGGACTGAGAATACACAGAGACCAAACATTTATCAGACCAGACAAGACCAACAAATTTCAGTCCAAGTAACAACATCATAATATCGTCTACCAGAGTGGCATCATAGGAGAGGTCGGTCGAATCCAAAATCCCTCAAACTGCTATCTACACGCTTTGACTTGATGATAGCTATTAATTCCATTGTAGTCGGTGTAAAGCTCCTCGTGCACTTCTTCCTCCGCCTGACCGCCTCACCACGAAAACCTCGTGTCCACTTGGGCGACCATGCTCACCCCTCTCTAAGGTTTGTTCAAATCAAATGCCCCACCAACATTTACTGTTATCTAATACCTTGTCGGGCATCTCCACGTCATCGGCTCCCGCTGTCTGGTTGGGATCTTTTTTCTATTATGCGCTTTTATCCACCTTTGTAGTACTGTCATCCCAACATTCTCCACACCCCTCCATTCAGTGCGTTTTTTCCGCCAAGCCATGTCAATCCTTGCTTTCCACAAGCTCCAACAGTGCATATGTAATAATCTCGCTAGCTTCCTCCTTTAACCTGTTAATAATATCACCCGCAGGGATGGATTTAGGGGGGGGGGGGGGGGGGGGGCGGGGGGCGACCACCCCCCTGGACTTTCAAAATTTTCTACCATATATGTAATATTTTCATAAATTTTTCATAATTTAATTAGATTCGCCCCCTTATCTTTTAATTTTCAAAATTAATATATAGTGTTACATAATGTAATACTTAATTGAAGATTTAAAAGAAGGAACATCTAAAATAATTACATAACTTAAACAAATAAACAATAGAATAACTCGTTGTTTAAGATTTAGGATACTTATTATATAAGAATTCCTAGTTTTGTAGTGTTTAATTATCTTTATTAGATAACAAGTATTTGATTTTGTAAAATATACTCCGTATATCAAACAATATTAAATATCAGACACACTAATTACACAGTTTTTAGATCACGTGAAATGAATCCAAAATATAAATGTTTATTGACATTAAATTACATAATTCATTTACTTCTTGCTTTCTAAAAATAATTTATTGCATAGATAATAAACTTTAAATTATTATAGCATTAATACAAATATTAAAATATAATATGCACCATATATGTGTGTGTATGTGGTGCATATTATTCTAAATATAATAATATCATACATACTACTATTGTAATGTTAAGAAAACTTTTCATGAGTCATGACTCACGAACACCGTCCTTGGTGGCCGGACAAAAATTACAATTCAATAATAACCGATTCATGAGGTTAAACAATGTAGAAGTTATTAAAAAATGTCTTGGTTGATGTCTTTGTCATCGTCTAATTTAAACTTAGAATGTACTACTTAATAGATTTAAATGTCGTTGGGGATGTGTATGTATTAATGTCATTTTTTGAATAAAATTAGCCGCATAGCCCTACAGTAGCGGAAAAAATTCGCTCCGCTACACTAGGGAAAAAATTTCGCCCACTACACTAACGAAATTTTTTTCACCCCCTACACTACCGAAAAAATTCGCCCCCCAGCTTGAATAGAAATCCTGGATCCGTCCCTGATCACCCGCCCAGGCCGCAATAATATCACCTCACTCCGTGTTCACCCAATTATTCCCCATAGCTCTCGTGCCAGAGGACAATCCCGCAAGGTATGTATTGCCATTTTCAGTTGCTCTCCACACGTTGGACAAGTTGGTGCACAGTAATAATGTAATATATAGGGTTTATTCTGTAATAACTTATAACTCAGTTTTATTATAAATATCAGGCCAAGGCACCCTAAAGGGTAGGCCATTATTTCCCAATTCTATTTTCTCATATGGTATCAGTTGCATAGGGTTTATTCTTTTCCAATGGTCGATCACACTGCTTCAGCGCCGCTCACATCTGCGGCAGCGATGCTATCGTCGGCGCCCTCCGTCCAGGTGCAGCCACCGTTGACCTCCAGTCCTCCGGCAATTACTCTCGGCTCCAACTCATTCGAAACAGGGACCAACAGTCACAGCAACCATCCCCAGGCTTCCGGTCTCACTGCATCAGTGTCTTCTTCGCTTGCCGCATCACTCGCGCAGCGTATTCGTCCGACTCCGCCCTTGGATTCTTACAGATTATTTAACATGCCTGAGCCCTTTTCTTGGACACCTACATCAACGCTGGAACCGCCCCCTGTTTTTACACCACCACATCCATTCGGTGGTTCGGCTTCTCTCTTCTCGGGTTCCACACATCCTGGACAAACTGGAACTCATCCTCTGCCATCAGTCATACAGTCCACGCCAACAGGTTCTTCATCTAATTCCTATCCTTTATCTGCCTTGGTGTCACAGTTAGCGTTCTCAACACCTAACGTGACGAATATTGTGACCACACGATTGTCTACTGTTGAGGATTATTTGCCCTGGCGTACTCAATTTGAGTCGTTCTTGGTATCTCATAGTCTTCTTGGGATATTGGATGGCTCAATTCAGGTGCCGCCATCTATTGTTTTGGACTCATTTAGGCGTGAGACTCCCAATCCCGATTACCATCACTGGATAAAAATTGATCAAACTATAAGGTCTTGGCTCTTTGCTACCCTTGGACGGGATGTTTTGATGGAGGTCTATGATTTGAAATTTTCACACTTGGTGTGGGAGAGATTACAGTCTCGCTTTATGTCCGCCTGTTTTGCCCGATCAATTGAATTGAAACGTTTACTTTCTCACATTAAAAAGAAGG